AATTCAATTAGCTGTTCATATAGATAATAATTATCACAATTCAATGGCTTTTAGATGTATTAGCAATAAAATGTGAGAATATTATATGAAAAAGTGTATTCATAGTTGCAACTGAAAATATAAAATAATAAAAAGCTTATTACAGTTTATAAAATAAAACTTAAACACATGGAACAATGTGTGTAAATTTTTTAAAAATTTATTAGGTGTCTCATTTAATTCCAATCTAAATTTCATCTGGAAATATAAAGAAGTGAACAATTAAAAATTTAAGAAGGAATAATGAGAGCAGTGTGCTATCCAGATAGTGAAGTGTATTATAATATTACAGCAATTTAAAACTGTGGTGCTGGCGCAGCAATTGATTGAAAGATCAGGGGAACATAGCAGGACTCCTGGATGAGCCCCAAGGACAGTGGTTTGCAGTTTATTCCAGAGACCCTGGAAATTCCCAAAAGTGCCGTTAGCCGTTAAAGGGAGTACGTATGGCGGCTCTGAGCACTTTCATCTCTACCTCAACAAGGACAGCTCTGCTTTTGTGCATTTTATGTATTGGGTTCCCATATTTATAGGTTAGTTTCACATCCAAAAGAGTTTTCGTTGCCCTAATATTAATATGTGGTAGAGGATGCCTCACTAACCATGACTGGCTTATGAAGCAAATTATGTTGGGGAAACTTGACTTATTAATAGGAGGTGGGGACTTAAGCTTCACCCTGGTGAAAAAAGATAAATTCCAGACGAATTAAAAAATAAAAACATAAAAATACTTAAAAGAAATATTTGTAGATATTTGCATATTCTCTGGTTAAAAGAAGTTTCTAAACAGAAGAGCAGTAGAAGTCACAATGGAAAAATCTGATGGAGTTGTTCGTGTGAAAATAGAAAACTTTGCATACCTCCCTAAAATATCCAGAAAATAAGCAACAAAAGGAATAAATATCTATTATTAATATGCAAGACAATGAATAGTCTTACTATATAAAGAGCTTTCTGTACATTAATATGAAAAGAGAAGTATCCCAAGTGTCATAGCCCATATGTTATTAATTTGAAAAAAATCTTTATCCTCATTAGTATTTACAGAGGTATAATTAAAATAACAATGAATTACTACTTATTTGACCTACTAAGTTGGCAAATATTACTAAACAAATAATGCTGAATACTAGCAGAGTCGTGATGAGAGGCAGATTCAGTTCTGCTTGGTGAGAGTATAAATTGTTAAAATCTTTCCGGAAACAATTGGCAGTGTATCAAGAGGCATGACAGAGCGCACATCCTTTGACTCAATAATACTTTAAGAATGTTACATTTAATATATTCTTTGGAAATTTATTTTTATCAATTGAATTTTTAAAACAATGTAAATGCCTATCAGTGAAGTGTTGTGATGCTCATTTGAAGAATCACTTAGTGGAGAAAAGTAAGACAGCTAACAATATAACATATACTTTATATAATTATAATTATATTAAAAATAATGTGTATGAATAGAAAAAACTAGGAGGAAAACACAAATATTAGCAGTGGTTATTCTTGGTTCTAGGCTTATGGGTGCATTTTGTTTACTATAGATATGAGTTTGCATTTTTCCAATTTTTACTATCAGAAAACAAAATTATTTTAAATAATCATCATCCATGGAAGACTTTAAAATTGGATTTCCTATTTTGTTGCAATTACATCGTTATTGCCCAAGTCAATTTGAACCTTTTTTTGATTATCTGAAATATTTATTGGCCCTATTTCTAGAAAAATCTAATTATGATAAATAGTCTTAAAAATTTGACTAATCCTACTCCCTTTCCTGCTGTATTGCATCCTTGACCCCGCTTTCTAAAGAGGTAGGTACAAGTTGGAAAACAATTGAAGGAATGTGTTACATTCAAAATAAGTATTATATAACTCTGAAAAAATAGTCCAATACTAGTTGTATTTGAAAATGTCAAGAAGGATAATACAGAAAGTATAAGTTTGAGGACACTGTGAAACTAGAGCACCTCATAGGCAAGACACTGGTGGGACAATGGGCAGTTGGTCAGTCTAACATGTGGGCCTGGTAGCTTAGGATGCCATTTCACTCTGACTGGCTTCCCTCCGTAGTGTTTGAGTATGGCTGCCTGCGAGTCTGATTCATGTCTCTGCCATGTGTCACATTATTTTGATGGTATCAATGTTTTGTTCTGTGAAGGTAATTTCTCCCTATTTTTCGTTCTATTAATGTTCACACAGCTAGTTCAGTGAAGCTTGTTCACACCCAGGAACCTTTCCTTCTCTGTCTCCTTTCTCTGTCTTGCAGGAACTGAGGGTGGCTTCTGGTGTTTTGTGTGGCTTCATCATTTCCTTCCTGCCTCTCATCCACTTCATGATGTAATTCTTGGCACTTTTACTTCCTTTGTAGAGTAGGATGTGATGTCATAGAGAAGGGGACAGGGCTATCCAAATTCTCTCAATTGCTGGGAGGAGCTGCCCAGGTGTGCTGAGGGGCCTGTACTCAGGAAGAGAAACAGGGAATCCTCCACAGTGAGTAACCCCGCTTTTGAGTGCACCCAAATTTCCTTTAAAACGTTGCCCAGTACTCTGGAATTTCCTCTTCGACCCTTTCTGGGTTTAATCAGTTTGCCTTTTGGGCATTCCCAGTTCAGCTCAATTTTCCTCCCGTCTCTCCCTTCTCCCCTCTCTCCCTTTCTACCACCCTGTGCCTCTCCCCGCCAGTTTCCCTCTTCCTTGCTTGCTTACTTGTGTATGTCTGTGTCTATTGACCTTCTGCCCATATCTTTTATGAGAGACCATTAGTGTCCCCAGCGTCCTGTCATTTGGGGTGTTGCCCACCCTATATATAGTCCATGTGACCACAGCATCTCCTTTCAGTAATTCATAAGTATGCACTGTTCCACTTACAATTCTTCTTATTTTTAAAATTGTCAGCTTTTTTGTTTTCATGCCTATTGCTTTTCTACCTTTCTTTGTGATCTAATCTTTTCCCCTTTTCAGCACTATTATGCAGTTTCCTTCTTGCCTTTTTTAACCAATATTTTTATACTTTAGTCCTCTTCCCTGTACAGCTATGCCTGTTTGTTTTTTCTCCTTTCCCAGTTTTCAGTGCAACTCTCCAATCTCCTCCTCTGTGAGGACAATTTTCCTTCTTTTCTATTGACGTGCTTGTGGCCATACCCTCTTTCTAGTGTAGCTCAGATTTCTATATTCTTTAAAGAATTTACCAGCTACAACTAAGGGGCTGACCAGACTGGGAAAAATGGGGAAATTTCCTGGGAACTAGAACGAGGAGAACAGGCGAGTGGCCCTAGTGGTAAGGAGGGGCAGGCTGTATGCAACTCATTGAAGTACCTTGATGAACAGATCCTTTGCTAGCGACCTCGTTGAAATCTGGCCATGGATAGTAGGAGAGATCACAGAGTCATTTTGAACAGATTTGGAAGGCTTTTCAATTTTAGTTTTTAAAGTAACCTTGTTAATTCTTAATGATTATGATCCTTCTAGTAAATAATCGCAAATTAGAACTCTAGAATCTTTAAGTTGCATAGGGCCATGACTTGTGCAGAAACTTCTGTACAGCATCTTTAAGTAGATGTCGTCTACCCTTGGAGGAAATCATTGTGAAGATGTGTGTAGGCTTATTTCTTGTACCCAGAGGTGCCCTGTAGTCCATGTTAGTGAGCACTGCTGTTTACTGCTTTCACTCCATGTAGTTAAGTCCCTGGATAAATAAAGGAACTTGATTTCCAGGGCTGATGGTCTAATGCCTGTGGAAATAACAATGTCCCATGTATTCCCCACACTTGGTTTAAAAGAACTCCCTTCCCCTCAAAAATAAGTAGGACTGAAGGGGAGAGAAAGAAAATGGGACTCAGTTCGTAAAACTGAGATGGGCTGGATGGGAAGAGGAAGGGGTTTACTTGAAATTAATTGGAAAAGGCAAAAGAAAGGAAACTGAGCTGAACTGGAAAACACACTGTAAGGAGTTATTGGATTTCCGGATGCTTCTTTCCATTTTGGCCATGAAGGATTATTTTTTCTCATTTTTTTTTAAATACAAAAGAGGTTGATCAAAATATGAACCCATGGGCCGGCCCGGTGGCTTAGTGGTTGAGTGCACACGCTCCTCTGCTGGCGGCCCGGGTTCGGATCCCGGGCGCGCACCGCTTCTCTGGCCATGCTGAGGCCGCGTCCCACGTGCAGCAACTAGAAGGATGTGCAACTATGACATGCAGCTATCTGCTGGGGCTTTGGGGGAAAAAAATAAATAAAAATTATAAAAAAAAAAAAAATATGAACCCAGCGAGGTTATTTCTGACCAGCACTTAGTTCTCTGCTATTGATAGTATTCAGGCTCCATGTTTCCAAGGTCCTGGAAATTTAGAAGACATTTTAACAGCCTGAAAACATGTCTTTAAGTATAAAATATTAGCAATGTTTTTTTGTGTGTGAGGAAGATCGGCCCTGAGCTAACATCTGCCAATCCTCCTCTTTTTGCTGAGAAATACTGGCTCTGGACTAACATCCATGCCCATCTTCCTCCACTTTATATGGGACGCCGCCACAGCGTGGCCTGACAAGCAGTGCGTCAGTGTGCGCCCGGGATCTGAACCGGCGAACCCCGGGCCGCCACAGGAGAGAGCGTGCACTTGACTGCTTGTGCCACTGGGCCAGCCCCACCAATTTTTAATAAAGGAAATTATATATATTTATTAACTTGTTTTTTTTTATATTTCACATTTTTTTTTTTTTTGGTGTGTATGCCTTTGTGACATTTTCTGAAGAATGGCCCTAATATGTTGTAGAAATTGCCATAAATGTCTAGAAAAAAAGTTACATTCTCATTTGGGATACCTGAGCTGTGTGATGGGACCTTATTTGGACATAACAGCCCCTTCCCCTTTAAAATTTAAAGGAAACATTGCATGATTCACACAATTTTTATTTTGTATGCTTCCATGCAATAATCTATGAATCTTATGTTTATTTTTATTTTTCAGGCACTAGAAAAACACCCCAACTCACCAATGACAGCAAAGCAGATATTGGAAGTCATTCAGAAAGAAGGATTAAAAGAAACAAGGTCAGTATTCATATTTACAACATTTCCTGTGTTTATTGATTATTAATTGCCACTAATTGCAAAGCAGTAGATGTATCTATATTTTGACATTGTAGTTGATTGTGAATTAACTACCTGCAAATTCTTTTGTGACTGCCAAATATTTGGATGACCCCAGGTTTCTTTGGAACTGCCTGTTGGCTTAATAAATTACATTATACTGATGAATACAGAATTTACTGTGTTAACAAAGAGGAGCGCTGTGTGAATTAGCCACTCATTGGAGTTATTCCTCTTTCTCTTTCTTGTAAGAGGAGATTGTGTTTCTGAAAGCGAGTAGTGAAAGAGAATCACTTTTACAGGCTTAATAAATAGATCCCAGGATATAAAGATGAGCTCACTCTGATAAAATTCAAAGCGCCAATGAATGTGGTTGAAAAACTTAGCCCTCTTATACTTAGAACTCCTCTACTTGGAGCATCATTAATCAGCTATTGAGCCTTTTAAAAAAAATAACAGTTTTATTGAGATATGATTCATACACTATAAAATTTACCCTTTAAAAATGTACAATTCACTGGTTACTTTTAGTATATTCACAGAGTTGTGCAATCATCACTACTAATTTTAGAACATTTTCATCACCCTAAAATGAAATCCCATATCCATTAGCAGCCATTCCCCATACCCGACTCTCCCCAGCCCCTGGCAACCACGAATCTACTTTTTGTGTCTATGGATGTGCATATTCTGGATATTTCATATAAATGGAATTATACAGTATGTAGCGTTTTGTGACTGGCTTCTTTCACTTAGCATAATGTTTTCAAGGTCCATCCAGGTTGTAGCATGAATCAGTACTTCATTCCTTTTTGTTGCCAAATAATATTTCATCGTGTGGATATACCACATTTTGTTTATCTATGATGATACTTTATTTTTATTTATTTATTAATTTTATAGTTTTGGCTTTAGCCAGCAGTTTAGGGCCATATAGATGATATTACTCAGGAGAAAAAAAGAAGATTGTTGCAGGATAAAATAACCATCAGGTTGTCATATGTGTATGTAATTGTGTTACATAGAGTGAATTTTTTGTATGAAGTTGTCTACCTACAAGCCATTGAGTACACAGTGGCTGCAACTTGGTGACAATTAAACCTGCTGAGTTACCTTTAGAATGTTTTGACTGATATTGAGAGAGAACTGCTGAGAGAAATGAATATCCTCCTGAGGCCAACTTTTCCTAAAAAATCGGTGTTACCTATAACTCCTGTAACTGTAAAATGTGGGTGACATTGGCCTCTGGCTGTTTAAAATGCATCTTTTGCAAGTTCGATCCATGAACATCACAGTTTCGTTGGGTATGGGACACCTAGGCTCAAATTTTCATCTCTATTTTGGAGGCTTTTTCTGCCTGCGCTGAAGAAAGAGCCTGAGATACTGTAACTACACTGTGTTTGCAATAATTGTTCCCTCACGAAGTGGAGACAACAGTGGGGAGGAAAGTTGCTGACAGAACCTAACAGCTCTGTTAGAGGAGATCTGTTCTTCCAAGCCAGATGTTGGTGTGAGGAGGTAGGGAACAAAATGGGGACACCTGGAAATTAATTTTCTCCTTGTTGCCTGTCAAAAACCCTGAAAATATTTATGCCATTTAGAAAGCACTGAAAATGTTTGTGCTACAGCCAAAAGAAAAGAGGAGGTAAAAATCTAAGGATATCAACTCCTGTCGAATGTGGGCTTGGTGCCAGAGGAATCTGCCAACGCAGACATAAAAAGCATCTCCTATAAGCAGACATTTGAAATTTGTTCATTACGATCTTCTCCACAGGAGTGGCTACGCTGTTATCAGTTGTTATGTACCTTGAGATATAAAATTCCTGTACCATGGCTCTGAACAGCATTTTAATTATACTTATTAATGTAACGGCATTATTTCATATTTTTCAAAATGCTGGTCTTCCCAGAATGGTATATTAAAGGGTTTTAAGCATATGTAGTTAACAAAACAAAAAATAAAACAGCTTGGAGGAGTAAAGAACAATGAAATGGAAAACATAACCTTCTATTCCTCTAAATAGAACCCTCCCTCCGCACCCTCCCCATTATTGTGTCCTTCTGTAAAGAAAAAGAAAGTTCATTGTTAGAAATACTGATGAACCAGTGTAGTAATATGGAAAGTACCTAAAAGAAATTCACAAGTTGAATAGGAAAGGGAATAGGCAGAGAAAGAGACAGTAGTTCTATTTCAGTTCTATTCTTCAAATCAGTTCTGCATTGAAGGCCCCAGAATGTGCATTTTATGTTCTCATTTCTTTGGCCGTTTCTTTGAATCTCCTCCCTCTGAATCATCACCTCTTACTTATGGCTGGTGTATCTGACCATTTTTCCCTTGTTTTCTAATTCTAGTTTGCATATTAGAATCATCTCTAAAATAAAATTTTGTAGATTTTGAGTGAGTTTTGGGCTTTCCTACATGTTATGTATGTTGTTTTAGGGAGCAGATTCTGACATTTATTTCGCCTACTTAATGTACTATTTTGCTACCTTCTAAGTTTTTTAATGTTTTCCAAATATTTAAAGTAGCCAAGTAAATGAAGTGTCACTGTACCTGTTTTTCTCAAGTAAAGATACATTTAGAAATTCCACCATCAAAAGGTCAAACATAGCTGTTTAATTTCTAGGTATTTATTAATGATGTGTTTTTCTAAAATGCACTTTTGTGATATGCCTGATTAAAAGCAGGGGAGTGGTTGTGAAACTTACTAATGTGGCCATAACCCTTTAGTGGTCTCCTCTATGGATGAGAGGTCATGTTAGTCATCTTCCCACAAACAGTCCACCCCTGTACCTAGCATTTCTAGAAAAGAGAAGATTGGGTTTTTATCCATCATCATTCCGAATCTGGATTTAAAGTAACAACATTTGTTTCAAGTACCATGAGGGTCCTTTATTCTATGTGCCAGGTAGATCTCCTGGAGCATTTACCTCCCTGCACTGTAATTTTGCCCTTGTATGTCTTCCTGCCGGTCTGTGAGCTCTTTAAGGGCAGGAGACCTAACACTCCTGGCACTAAGCAGATACTCAATAATTATTTGTTGAGTAAATAATCTTCTTTCTCAAGATGTTAATTTGCTGGCACTTAGGGATGACTTTGGCTTGCATTTACAGTTAGAAGCTTCTTTTTAACATTACGTGTTGTATTTTTCATCCTACTCAATAGTTTATTTGTTTGTTTGAATCAAAAGGAATCTAACAGTTTTATGGCCATCCCATTAAATATATGCATGCTGATAGTCTCCAGCAGATGATCTGTGAACAAGTAAGCCTATTGTGTTTGCTTGTTTTCAAACACTGTAAGTGCCACTGGTTTGAACTTGTGACTGACAATAAAAAAAATACACCAATAATTTTGGCAAAACTGATGTGAATATTTGAATCTGTTCAGTATATGTGATATTGTTAATTTATTCAACTGAGATGAAATTTTTGACACTTTATGCTATCTTTTCCTCTTTTCAAGTGACACTTTAAATTACATACTTTTTATGTAGACATGATAAAAAGAGGACAACTTTTCTGTATCATGTTCTGTGTCTCTTCTTCATGTTATTGATGAAATGTGTAGTGTATGATTAAATCCTATTTGAAAAAGCCAACTGAGATAAGTACTTTCCATGTGTTTTAAAAAAATGTATATGAATATAGTAAATTTTCAGAAGAACATAGGATTTTTGTTGAAAAAAATAATGTGATCACAGCATGATTTCTTAGAATTGTTTTTTTTAATGAAATTATATTTGGTAAGTTTTAATTCCTTTCTATATAATAGCATGGAAGATTTTATCAGTGTAATTTTATTCTGGTCCATCTATAGATGGACTTGCTTTACTGATTCTGAGTGAGTATTTTCAGGCTGCTGTTCCTTTGTGTTTGTTTATGAGTTGTCAGCAATTGATAAGACATAGTAGTTTGGAATGCTTTTTAGATAGTCAAAATCTTAGATTCAGCCAAATGGCCATGTTGCTTGTATGGAGGGGATAGAAATGTGCATATTCCAGTCTACTGCTTTTGTGGATGGATATTTAATATGTCTGTTTGGACGACTTGATTAAACATTCCCACTTCCTCAGGGAGTTACGGTGCTACTGTAGCTTATGGTCTTGTCTGCAGTAATTAAAAATATGTTCATAGGAGTAACTATACTTAGCATGTTGGTTTGGATGACTTTTGGAGTTGTCCTAATTCTGCTTTTCTGTTTTTGGTTTGCTTATTCAGAAGTTATAATTCCTTTACAAAGAGGACTGAGGGATTTTTGACGCCTGAGGATATGTTTTTCTCTGCTCATGTAATTTTTAAAATGATGCTTCCAAAGAAACGTGTGCTCTGTTATTGGAGACACATCCAAGAGTGGAAGGTCAAGGAGTGAGGCTTGCAAAACTTGCCTAGCAAGATGAGCACAGCCATTCATCAGTGAGGGATAATTTCTTATGTGCTGGGCATTATTATTACAAGATGCCTGCCATTAATGCAGCATGAACCGTGATATAGTTTTGATATTATTTGATAATAGGTAAATAGTTTTCTAATGGAGGTGAGGCAGTCATAAATTAAACAAACAAACAAAAACCACACAAAGCAATAAAAAAAACACCTCTGTTGGGTTGGAGGCAGGCAGGACAATATTTATGAGGTACGTTTTTACAGTATTATAGATGCCTTACTTTAAAAAAAATCTGTGTTCGATTTCATCAACCATTTACAGAACATCAGCCTATAATTACATATCACAGTAGGGACATGTGAAAAGGTTTATAAACAATCTCTGTTGTGTTTAGTGTTCTCAGAAAATGAACATATTTTTGATTTTGCAATGTGGAACATGGGATTGGCAACCCGAGATTTTGTAATTATTCTGCTATCAATGAGAGTTTTTTATTCCCGCTGATAATTCTTAGAATAAATTTGTTTTTAGCTACCTGTCTTAAGGTTTTGCAATCTTTGTTATGATATGCGGA